GAGAGAGAGAGAGAGAGAGAGAGAGAGAGAGAGAGAGAGAGAGAGAGAGAGAGAGAGAGAGAGAGAGAGAGAGAGAGAGAGTTCACAGGATGCGACAGCAGCACTTACACTCATCATGACTGTATCGAACCTGAATTTTTTATTGTGTACATTGGAGGACAAAAGGAGGCCTTAGACATGAATTGTTGCTTGTATACATTTGAGGACAGAAGGATCCCTTATCCAATTCCACGGGAAGCACATTTTTCCAAGAGCATCAAGAACCCTCATCATGACTGTATCTGACCTGAATTGTCACTTGTATACATTCGAGAACAGACGGAGCCCTTATCCAATTCCACGGGAAGCACAGTTCTCGAGAGCAGTATGAATACTTGTACACATTTGAGGAGACTAGGGGTCATGTTTTTTTTTTTCCTTTTCTTTTTTTGAAACTTTTCCCCCTGGGGTGAAGTCCCACCGCCCAAGTTTAAGTTTAGAAAACGCAACCGTGTGACACCATTTTGACATTAATAAATTTGAAACAAGAAATAAAAAGAACTGAAAAGAACTGCTAGAAACAGCTTTTCTCCTTATTTTTGGTTACGTAACTCGGAGAAATGAAACGCGTCTGGCACAGTCGGCGTGAATGTCTCCGTGGAAAAAGGATACTTCCCGTGGTGAAGGGACAGGAGGTCACCATTCGTAAAATGGACAGGGACAACATGGATGGCCAGATGCGTTCATTGCCCAAAGAAGGAAGAGAGTTTGATGCGAGAGAGCCAAACACAACTGTCAGAGTTCCTCCGTTTCAGGGTATAATGGTGTCTAAAAAGACAAAAAAAAGAAAGGCACATAGGGCCTCGTTGCACTACTCTCGAAATGCGGAAAACGAGAGTGAATCCTCCGCCAGAATATGGAAAGATACATGGCCATGATTTTTGTTTTGTGTGCATGTCGAGAGTAGTGCAGCGAGGCCCATACGTTGAGAAATCAACCCTGGGGGGGGGTAGGGTAGTTTTGTAAACTTAAAATGGTTTCCTGCCCAAACGGAAAGGGCCAAAGCATACGACAAAACGGATTTCACGTCAAAAACAAATTCTACAAAACGACCAAATCTAATAGGTTATTCTCTGAGTACGGATGCCGCCCGGCCGGGCGGGCCCGGGCAAACCGGGCGGGCAAAAATACAGCCCAGAATTTTTTTATTTTTTTTTTTGAAGGTGGGGTCCTCCTGTGCTCGGCGAGAGGACCCCTAATCTGCAATAAAATTCTGGTTTTGGGGGGGGGCGAGTTGCCCGGG